CAGCAGGAAAACCCACTTGACAAATATAATCTAAAAAGCTGTGAGCATCTTTTCTGGAACTTTCCATGTCATTCTTTTCTAAAAAGCAGAGACAATTAAGTTTGAATACTACTTATTTTTTACGTTTTAGAGGTAATTATAGTAAAAACCATGTTAACGTCACCCTAAGGGATAAGTATGTCAAGCCACCATGTCAAGCCAGCTACCAGAGGCTCAGCAGCCATGACTTTGGGAGGGCTGACGGGAGCAGAAGTGGCACATCCATGTGAGCCCCACAGAGTTGGCTGCAGAGGGCACTGGGCAGCTATACACCTGCTGAGGGTCAGGCTGGAGGTGGCCATGCCCTGCCCCACCTGGAGTTGAAGGTCCAGCAGGGCAGCTCTTGCCAGATCCTGTCATATGGAAGATCCAAACAGAAGCAACTGGACCAGGAGACGGTAGCTCAGCGGGAAAGCCAGCCCCTCACCCCGGAAACTCTTCCTTCAAATGGAAGGGACAGTGTTGGCAGGAGAGAGGAGGGAGTGCCCCACCAAAGGGGTTCACGTCACCCAGATGGAGCCAGCGTCCAGGGACCTGGCCCATGCACGCCTTCTTCACCAGCAGCCGGGCCAGGCATGAGTTAGAGGAGGCCCTTCTGGGAATTCAGGGTCAGGACTGATGCACCGGGTGCCAATACCTGTGCAAGGCCTCCGTGGGAAGAAGACATTACATGAATGCCCATGATGCAGATGCGAAGGAGAACCCTCTAGAAAAATGAAATTTCCAAGCTAAGCTGACCACCTGCATGCAGTTAATGAATAAGTAAGAGCTAAATTACAGCAGTCACCATCAATTTCCAGCAGCCAGAGCCTGCCTTCAGCTACAAACGATGCTGCTGCCTTTCATTCTGTTCACTGCACAACACACCGCACAACGCCCAGCACTGGCTCCAGAACGGCAGTCAGCAACCACTTCAAGATTCTATTAGTTTGTCAGAGAAAAGCAATGCAGACCTCTCCAAAGCCACGCCGGCGCCTGCTCCTGGGGACAGCTCCCGTGAGCAGATGGCGCAGCAGCGGTTGTCAGAGAGGCCCGGCAGTGGGAGAGCCTGTGGCTCCGGAAGAGGAGCCGATCAAAAGGAGGCCGTCCATGCTCAGCAGGGCCCCAAGACGCTCCCAGCTGAGGATCCTGGCAAACGCCTATCCAAGTTTTGGGCTGCCTGGGACCAGGGTCCTGCCGAACCACATGGGAGCCAAAGGAATGCCCATAGCCTTCCTCAGGATGACCTGTGCCCCCATTGGTGCCCCACACACCCTCCCTGAAGACAGACGGAGCCAGGAAGAGGCCACCAGACAGGTTGGGGCAGCCTTGGTTCTAGTGACCCAAGTGTGTGCATGCAATGGGGGGAGAGTGGCTGTGAAAAACCACACATACCACCCCTGTGCACATACACTACACACACACGCGTGCGTGTGCACACATCAGTTCCCACATCCAAAAGAAAAGTGCTCAAGGCCTCAGGCCTGGAGAAAATCACTCCCGGCACTCCCGGGCAGTGCCCTAGAGGGGCGGCCACCTACTCCTTACAAACCCCGGGCCAGGCTCTGTCTCAAGTTCTCAGCCAGAAGCAGGAGCAGAACACAGCCAAGCTGCAAAGGCTCTAGGAGGGTCTTGCAATTTGGCCCAAAGTCGCTCACCCTCTATGGGCACTGAAGCTGCAGAAGGTGTTTTTCCTGCCCGCCCATGGAACCTGACATCCCAGCAGTCAAAGCTGCCATCACCTAGGCCTGATTCTGAAAAAAATGATGGGGAACACTCTCACATCAGAAAGGCACCAGACTTTTGTAAGCAAAGACTCCAGATAAAAACAAATTTGAAGCCACTACACTTCAGTCCCAAAAAAGGCCTGGGGTGAGGAACAGGCCGGACACCAGGCTACCCACAGGCCCTTTGGCGTCTGTGACCCTGACAACAGGATAAGCCATTTATGCAGGAAGTGGCAGAACTGCAGATGCGGGTATTGTTTCCCTGGGCGACTTTATCTGCCAGATGGATTTTCAAAAGCCATCAGATAGACTCAAAAGGAAGCTGAGGAACCGAAGGTCAAATGTTGCGTCTGGTGGGTTTTGATTGCAAAGGCCAGGTAATCCCATCAGCCTCCCTCCTCCCAAGCGCTACTGATTATGAGAGCATCCAGAAACAGCCACACAAGCAGGTCAGGCGCTCCCCAGCTCCAGCCTCAAACATCCAAGCCCTCAGCCACTGCCTATAGGCATGCCCTCTGTCCCCAAGGCTCAGGACGCGAGGACTGGGAGACGGTCACACCAGAGCCAAGGAAGGGAAAAGACATAGGCTTGCAAGAGACAATGGTCGAGCCTTCTGCTGTGGAGCCCGAAAGCCCTTGGGACCGCCATGCTGGCTCTGGCCTGCCTGGCACGCACATGGAGGCTTTCTGACAAAGGAGACCCACCCTGCAGACCCATTTGTACCCTCAAAGGTCAGCCAAGCCTATATGTCCGCACTAGACAATCGGCTGGCTTGGCAAAGCAGGGACAGACTAAAGGAGAACTTTTAACAGTGGCTCTGAAACCAAGCCGTGGCCACAAAACATTATTCCTATATTATTGAAGATTACCCTCCGGATGAGTCAACTGCTAACAGCTGCTCCCTAACCAATCAGGTCCTGGGTTTTAAACCCTCAAGTCAAGTGCCATTTCACTCCCCAGATGGTGACTGTGGTGAGATTTGTTCAGGTTTCCCATTGGACCATGAAGTCCCTGAGGCAGGGTCCAGGTTTCCCCTCCCACAGCCCTGGAGGATGCCCATACTCCAGGACAGGCACTCCCCAATTTCTCATAAGAGTGAGCTCTGCACAAAGAAGTAGGCAGACAGACATAGGAAGGCGAGGACATGCCCTCAGGGCCCCTTCACATCACCAAACCAAATCCCCGGGACAAGAGCCTGCGCAGGCCCTCTCTCCACCACCATCCTCGCCTGCATCTCACGCTGGACATCTCAATACACCTGGAGACAGATGGCAGGGCCACAGAGAGGCTGAGAGGACAGCCAGGTCAAAAATGCAGGTACCACCACGGCACAGTGGCCCTGGCTATCCCCAGACATGCCACTGGCAAGAGGGGCTGTGGCTACAGCTCTGTGATCACCTAAGGGTGCAGGAAGGTTTCTGGGAGAATCCTTTTACCAAGACTAGACCTAAGCTCTCACCAGGAAATCCCTTACATGGCTGTCCCAGTTACGAAGACTTTATCACAAACCACCCCAAGACATGGGAGTAAAAAAACATTTATCATGTTCACAGACTCTGAAGGTCAGGGCTTCGGACAGAGCCCAGAGGACCAAAGGCTTATCTCTGCTCTACAAGGTCTGGGACCGCAGCAGGAAGACTCGAGGGCTGGGGCCTGGAGTCACCGTTCCGGGGGGTGGTGCTGGCTGTCAGCTGGGCCTCCGCTCCCTTCCACGTGGGCTCTGCACATGGGCAAGTTTGGGCTTCGTCTCATCATGGCAGCTGGGTTTGAGGGCAAGTGTCCCACAAGCAAGAACCAGGTGGAAGCCATAGTACACTTTACAGTCCAGCTTCAAAAGTAACACAGTGACTGTGCCACGTTCACACATCAAGGCAGTCATCAGGGAAAAGATTCTACCTCGCCATAGAGAATGGCCATAAATACTGTTGTGACCATTTCTGGACACTACAAGCTACCTGTCCCTAGCATCCTCACCACCTCATTTCAGCGTCACAAATGTAACTGTCCCCACAGTGACCATCACCGTGACTACAGCCCTGGCAGTGCCTCAGAAGTGGTACTGTCGCTGTTCCACAGATATGGAACTGGAGGCCCCAACAGCAGCCGGACCCACTCTGTGGAGAGACCACACTGAGCTGTCAGGCGAGCTTCCAGCAAGACCAGGCCATGGGACCTACACATGCCATGCCACCAGGCTGAACCTGCTTCCTCTTTAAAACAGGGCAGTAGTAAGGATTCAACCAGGAACAAGATAAAGGTTGATGGTAACAGTCACAACAAGATGGGGAGGCAAGAGCTGGGTGAGGCAGGAACCACCTTCCCAGGAGCACCCTGGTCTGGATCTGCTGATTTAGCAGAAGGAGGGGCCCCCGATGAATGGACGGAGGAGGCCTGCCCCAGGCCAAACCTGAGGCGATTTCTCTGCAGGCACAAGCAGCACTCTGGCAAAGTGGGCAGTCTACCATGGAGGCCTCCTCCAAGCCCTGCTCCACATCCCACCCAGGCATTGGGGTACTGTGGAGCTTCTAAGGGGGCCACACTGCCTCCCCCGCTCTCCCTCCCCGCCACTCAGCCACGCCTCATGCTTCGCCCCTCCCTCTAGGAAGAAGGCAGCAGGCCTTCCAATACCCACTCTAACACTGCATGCAAGCCAGGGGGAATCTGCTCATTACACAGCAGGGAAGCACTTATGCCATCTGCCCCAGGGGCCTCTGAGAGGCCAAAACCTAAGTGGCCGCCCAGCTATCCACCCCAAAGGCCAGTTGGATCGTGCATGTCCCCCCACCCCCCTCCCCAGGGCCAAGCCCAGTAAACATCCTGCCAAGAAAAGCCTGCCCGCTTCTCTTGTGCCGCCAATTCTGTTTAGAGCTGAGTCTTCACAGCAAAGCCAGAGGCCCAGGTCCAGGGATCCTACCAAGCCGGCTCAGAGCACAGCTGTCACCACTTGTAAGGTCAAACCCCTCACCCCAAGACACAGAAGAGGTACATGCCAGGCCAACAAAGGAGGTTATGGGATTGGCACTGAAGGGCTGATGGGGAGGGCAGCATATGAAGCAGAGGAAGTGCAAGTGGCCTGCCCTGGCCCTCTGCACAGAGCAAGTCCCCACAGACCTGCCAGCCCACCTGGGAATGAACGGTTGGGGACACTGGACAATGAAGGCTGTAATTTATACATTAGCCCAGAATAATCACTCTCCAGGCAGAAATGACATGCTGGAAGATGATAAGCCTTTAGTAGAATCCTCTGATCACCTCATGTGGCCCCAGTTAAGCACAGTTTTTGCCTCGGTGCCTCTGAGCAGGCAGGAACAGCTATTGGGACAAGGGGACAAGGCCAAGGGCCCTGAAGCTCACAGGTGCCTTGAAAAATGAAGGAGGGCTGTCTCAGCAAGGCCCAGGCCTCTGGTCCCACACTTCTCACGGAACTACCCCATCTCCCAGGTGGGCCAGCTGTGTCAGGGCATACATCTGTGGCCCTGTGGAGCTTAGCCGAGAGGCAGGAACACAGCAGACATCCAGTAATGCCCTGCTGTTAGTGATGGGATTCGGAGAAGGGCCTCAGGTTGCCCTCCCTGACCTAAGTCAACACCCACCACTCCCAAGGTGAGGCCACCTCCCACGGATGCCATGCAGAATGGTCCCCTGAGGCCAAAGCCTCGGACATTTTAACAAAGCTGAGAATCCAGAATTTCAATATTAATATAGTACTTCCAAACGACCATGACCACAGTGTGTGGATCCAGCTCTGACTCCCCTTCCTGACCAAGGGCAAGGGGCTCTGGCCCAGGGAGGGCCATCAATGCGCCTGACCGCTAAGCTAACCCTCCCCCTTG